CCATCTTGCTCTGCCCCCCCCCCCCCCCCCCGTGTGATGAGCTAAACTGCCTTCCCAGGTAGACCAGACAGGAAACACAACCAGATGAGTTAATTCTACTTTATTCTATGGCTACATTAAGAGAATCTTGCAAGTCTGAAAGTACAAATCTCCCGCTGTCTCCTTTACAGCCTGAGAAGCTAGGGAGGGTCCCTTCTGAGCGTCTTGCTCTGCCCATTATGCAGCTGCAGGCTATGCCCTCTCTTATCTGACCTTTCCCTAGGCAGCGTCTCTTCACCCCATCTCTAAAGGACTTTCTCACATACCATTACATCAACATGGCTTAAGTAGAAAGAATGAAGAAGGTTTCTGAACATGTCTGAGAAAGAAAGCCCTCTAAGTCACATTGATATAAAGGAGGGAAGAGAGGAAGCATAATCAGACTTGCAATTTGTTTTGAAATCAACTTCTTGGTCTAGTCTGCCTCTAGGGCGGCCATCCGTCTTGCAAGTCTCTTATTCTCTTTTAAAAGGGGCTGAAGATCTTACTTTTGTAGTTGGAAATGGCCTCCAATCCTCAGGGTGTGCCATTGCCTGCCAAATACTTCACCTCAGCGTTGTCACAAGACCAACAACAGGTGACAACCAACTGACACCATGCCATGATGCAGCTAACCGAATAGTTGGGATAGATGTATCTCAGCCAGCAGCAGCAGCAGCAGCAGCAGCAGCGGGCCTACAGCACAGCCAGTATTCCTTGGTTCCCATGGGAGAGTCTCAGCAATGTTTGGAGGAGATAAATTCTGACTGGGGACACTGCAGCGCCGTGCCTAACTCCCCAGAACAATACTCAGACTCTGCAGCTGTCTTTGGGGTGGAAGAGGGAACTGCCTGCTCCCCATCAAAGCATATGATTGCATCATCAATTTGAAGCCAGGGGCCCAAATTGTCATGGTGCCTTCTAAAATCTGTGTGAACAGGATAGCAGAAGGACTCTGAGGATGGTTCACAACATTGAAATCTGAGCCAGGGAGCTATTAGGGACCACCATCCATTACCAATTATTTTGGATTTCCTGGACCACCCCCAAAAGGCACACATTTTAAGAAGGTTAGACTCCAGAAGAGCTTGCTTCTTGATCAGTAAGAAGGAGGGACCTGAATACTTAACTTCATTTGATACCATGTATGGCAAATTTGAATAACCAGGGTTGCCTTTCACTTGGTTAATTGTGAGGCAGTCTTAGATGAAGTGTGTTCTGGCGTTTTATTCAGGTATGTAGTGGTATATTTTGAAAACACCTATTTTTTTCGGAGGAACCTGATGTTAATTTCCTGTTTGCCAAACAGCAGCTTGTGAAATCTGGCTTCTGTTCACAGTCTACCTTTCATCCAGACCTGAAAGATTTAATCACTGGCTGATGTGCCAGAGACACAGCAGCAGAGGAAGAGAGAGCGAGGTTTCCCTGCCTTCAACATGGCTGTTTCCAGCTGGCTGGTTGTTCTTTCCCTGCTATTCCTCTGGTTCTGGAAGAGCAGAAGTCCCAAAGGTTTCCCTCCGGGGCCTTGGCGCCTGCCCCTGATTGGGAATCTCCTTCAGGTCAGGATGGGGAATCTTTTGAAGGACTTGGATCAGGTAAAGCTCCTAATTCGCTCTCAGATTAAACTTCCATGTAGTGAATCTGCCAAAAGTTTTGCTGCTGCAGAAAGAACTGAGAGGAGATGGGTGTGTCTGTTAACTTTTCTGCATGAGACACAATTTTTGCTTGCCACAGGATTTAGAGAACAACATTCAGAATCTTATGGAGATGTGAAAATAACAGCCATTTGATACAGAGGAACCCTAATTCCTGATGGAACTGAACTTCTGAAAGATTCATTCCTTCTTTAAGGAGGATTCAGTTCACTTCAAAGTTTCCAAATGAAACCCTCACCTTCCAAAAACTACTGGAGAAATATGTTACTTTAGAAGGCTAAAGAAGGGTGTTGTATATTGGCCTGAATGAGTAGCCATTCTTTTTTCTCTCTTCCCTCCCAATTTTATTGTTATATATTTTGAAAGAATATAAAAGATAAATGACAGAGATAGAAGAATCAAGTATAGGTGGATAAACAGCAAATCTATTATAGGTAGTCCTCAGTTAATGACCGTTCATTCAGTGACCATTCGAAGTTATGACAGTGCTGAACAAAGGTACTTAGGACCCTGGTTTTAATGACGAGGCTCTTGCTTAAAGGCTTCAATAAAAAGGGGATATTTGTTGAAGATTGCACTTTGTCTTTGCACCCTGTAGCTGTTTGGATGCTCAGAAGTGGTGACATTTAGTGAAGGGAAGAGTTTTCCCAAGCCATCCTTGCATGTTTCTGGCCTGTTGTTAGAAAAGTGGGGCGAAAGGCCCTTAGCCCTTGGGAAAGGAAGTCTCCCATGTCCCCTACCAGCTGCTCACCCTCAAACAAACTGGGTTATCACAGAGCCTTAGCAGATTTATTAGAAAGAAGATGGTGTTTAGTGATATGAGATGGCAAACCAGACTCTGTGTCCTTTAGTACCCCATTTATCGTACTTTTGTTAGGGTAGGGCTGGTTTGATCCTCTTTCTCACAAGGCTTTCAGTTCTTGGGAAATGATCAGACAACATGAGCAACCAAAAACCTTCTTGTCATGTTTTCCCCCTTTATCCATAACATTATATAGGAAAGTAGGGATTTGTATAAAGTCAGCATACCTACTTAAGCTCACTTGTGTGGGTAGCTAGTTTTAAAGCCCTCCCTTTCATTAGAGTTAAACAAGGGTATTGCTTATGCTTGGCAGGAAATGTCTCAGGTTACCAGAATGTTGCCAACTTCAGATGATACACTTAGGCCCATCTACCCTAAATAAGTTTGTCCCTTTCCATGATCTCCTCCATCTCCACTCTCCTAGGATCTTGGCAATCCATTCAAGAGTGTTTCAGTAATCTTGTCCCTGCCAGCTCTGGAAATGACATGTTTTCAGCACCTACAAACCACCCTGGTTCACCAGTCATCTCTTAACTGTCCCCCTCCTGCAGGCTTCCACTTGGTGGAAGACTTTCTGTGTAAATGTAGTCCATATTCTCCTTAGTTCTACACACAGATTGCTTAGAATTGCACTTCCGCAAGAGGGGAGTGGAAGGACATTTGGGGGGAGGCACACAGTGGAGCTATAGGTAATCTCTCAGTCCCTTCCTTGATGTTGCAAGTTTCCAACACCTTCTTCTAAGAAAAGTGCTTGGCCAAGAAAATCATTCTGCACTTCTGCCAGATGTGATAAATATCACTCTCTTGATAAGGGATCCCATTAAAATTTTGCATGCAGAATGCTTACAGTTACCCCTATGCATGAATAGGAAGGAGCATTGGCTGAACACTGTGGGGAATGGAGCAGGAGGGAGCTCTGGGTAAATTTCTCAATCTCAACCTTGATGACATTTTATGTTGCAAGATTGCAGTGTTTGGCCCCAACTAATTTCCTAAGGCCTCTATGCTAATCCTGGCTACTTCATTGCAGCTAGGAAAAAAATATGGTCCTGTCTTCAGTCTTTATCTTGGAGGAACACCTGCAGTTTTTACTCATGGATTTCCTCCAGCAAAAGAGGTCCTCGTGATAAAAGGCACAGAATTTGCTGGGAGAGCAGACTTTCCTATTATGGATGCCATCACTAACAAAAACGGTAACTGAATATAATTTCCAGGGCTTTTTTTTCTTTTCTTTTCCAAATCTCTGTTTGGTCTTGGTATGATCCAAACTTATCCATTCTGTTATGCAACTACCAATATCCTTTTCCTCTGCAATCTGTAGTGCTCACCAAAAGTTTCCAGTAAGAGAAGGAATAATCTCTTGAACTGTTAGAAGTTGCTTCCTTCTTCTTTTCTCTTTTTTAACATTGATGAATAATAATATGGTAGAGATTTTGGCATTCAGCTGAAAATATTCATATGTCTTCCTTACACCATAAAAACAATTACTCAATGTATTTTGCTTGGCATGCTTATCTTTTATAACTTGATTGTTGAACGTTTGTAATTTTTTCTTCTTTTACTAATATTATCTTAAAAAATACACCCTTGTTTTAAAAATAAATAAATAAATAAATAAATCACTACTGATAAGTTACACAGGAATGACTGTTGGATGTTTTTTTAGGTTTATTGACAATAAAATATGGTGAAGCATGGAAGGAGCAAAGAAGGTTTTCACTGATGCTTCTCAGAAACTTTGGAGTGGGCAAGAAATCAATCCAAGAAAAGATCTTGGAGGAGGCAACTTATTTGGTTGAGGCATTCATTGAAAAGACAAGTGAGTTCTCCTGAGACAGGAGGAGATGGCTGGGGAATTGTCATTTCAGTGTTGCTTCTTTTTCTGGAGGACACAATTCAGTTGACCTCCAACTTGACCACTGGGTGTGTGTATTGAAGCAGAGTGGGAGAAGCTCAGAATTCTGGCTGCATAAAATTCCAAGCCCCATTGACCAAAATAAGACACATTGTTCATTTGGTCTCTGTGCTTGTCATGTTTGTAAAGCAACAGTCCTGTAACTTTCTTGGTTGGAAGCTATTAATTAAAACTCTGAGAATGCTTCTGGATCTCCATAGAAAATTGGGAGAAGGTGGGAGAGCCATCACATATAAAACAGGAAGCCTAGGAAACATACTATAGAAATATATTTCCTTTTGTTTTATTTCACAGGTGAGCCCTTTGATCCTTATGAGCTTGTGGACACTGCAGTCACCAACATCATTTCTACCATAATATTTGGGAAACGTTTTGAATATGACAACACCTTCCTCAAAACTCTGCTGGATGAGATACATCAAACTTCCAAACTGTCAGTGGGACCCTGGGCCTTGGTATCCTTAACAAGAATCCAGAAGAATTTTCAAAATTAATGCATAACTAGTAGGAATTTGAATTTCCATGTCTCACATATTTTTGAAACTTTCTGATTTTCCTTGCAATTAGAACAGTATCTCATCAGAGTGCCAAGGAAGTAGGTGAAGGCTCTTTGTGAGTGGTATTTGGTCCAAACTAAAGTTATTCAAATTTAATTAGGGCAAATTTCTGTATTGAAATTTTATCTGATGTGGACATTTGATTCCCTATCTAATTGTGAATAACAGATATTTACACGAACCCTTTAGAGTAGAAGGGATTTTTTTCCCGCTCAAAATACCAAAAGGGGAGGAAAAAAAGACTCCATCACGATCACATTAATCACTGTTGGCTTTTCTTCTGTTTCCTGGCAGCTTTACAATGCAGTTCCCTTGGTGAGGAGGCTTCCGCTGCCCCATCAGACAATATTAACAATTGCAAAGAAAGTAGAAGATTTCATTGAAAAAGAGGTGGAAGAGCACAAGGCGACCCTAGTTCTCGGAGAACCTCGGGATTTCACTGATGCGTATTTGGAAGAAATGCAGAAGGTAGATTTGTTAATCTCTTACTGTTGGCTTTGCATTCTTTTCTTTTCCTCTCATCTTGAATCTGTTTTCCTGACATTACGCCTCGTGAAAGTACAACAAAAACAAGGATCCAGTGACTTTTCTAGATGTTGTGCCAAGTCCACTTTTTTGTTAATCTCTTACTGTTGGCTTTGCATTCTTTTCTTTTCCTCTCATCTTGAATCTGTTTTCCTGACATTACGCCTCGTGAAAGTACAACAAAAACAAGGATCCAGTGACTTTTCTAGATGTTGTGCCAAGTCCACTTTTTGCCTGGGGGACATGATGTGTGAGCGCAGCTATGTGCCTTTGCTTTGCATGTTGGGCAACTCCAGCCACCTAACATAGATCTGTCCATCCAGTTGCAGCAGAGGGAGGACAGGGAAGAAAGCCCCCTTTGCCAGCTCTGAGGACCCTCTGGGGGACCCTCATGCTCTCCCTGAGCTGCTTGTATCACGATGGGTTGTCACTGGAAGAACTTCCTTGTTTCTCTTCCCACTTCCTTTCCCTTTTAGGCATATTTTTTCAGAATGAAATTACATTTTTAAATTGATGTTATCAAGAGTAATAAAAAGACTACAGGAGTTGATCCTTTTTCCATTTGATTTTAACAGCATTCATTGTTTTAACTTACAAAAGGCAGGGAGGAAAGGTTCAAGTTTCCAAGAACAGCAACTACACATCTCACTTTCTGACCTATTCGTTGCTGGAACAGAGACAACAGCAGGAACACTTTTGTGGGGATTCCTCTATCTGATGGCCTTTCCAGAAATCCAAGGTAAAGAATTATGAAACTGTGTTCTTGACTAGTAAGAGTAATACCTTCACTTCTTATGCAAAATGAGGAAGGGTCATGAACTGGGGAGTGACTATCATGGCTGGGAATTCAGTTAGCTGCAATCTCATCACTTCTGGTGGGCATTTTGCTGGGAAGTATACTAAAAATCTCTATATAGAGTCAATGAAATGTTTTCTATAATGTAACTAAATATTTGTTCCACAGAGAAATGCTGGAAGGAAATAGACACTGTTCTGGGAAGCAATGCAAGCCTGAAGTATAAAGATAGAGAGAA